TTAGCTATGTCGATTACTGAATACTCCAGGGCGTAGTATACAAATAAATCTGACTGCGGAGTAGTGGAATATATACATGTCAGACTGTTTTGGCGAGAAGATTTTCGCTAAATTATTTTTATCAGTGTTAAACAGGTTTATCGTGAACAAAATACCTCGAAATTGATAAGGATTACAAACACGAAATGGAAATTCTCAATTTAGAATTACAATGTATTTGTTTTTATTCAGGCTACATATTACGTATTACTTCACCGTGGTGCAGGGGTATCGCGCTCGTATCGCGCTCGTTTAGGGCGTGAGAGACCTAAGGTTCAAATCCTAGTCGAGGCAACTTCTTTTTTGAAGTGTCTTTTTGTCTCGCCTCTACGGAGTAGTGGCGACATATAGGGATCACTTCTCCGTCGTCTGTCTGTCCGTCTGTCTGTCTGTCTGTCTGTCCGTGCGATATGCAAGGATAAAGTGTGGCTGTCATAAAAAATGATTTTTGATGCAACTCTAGTCATGCAAAATTCCATATGTATCAATCTCAAACTGTTATAGAAAAAAATCTTAACGCAGTCGCTGCGTAAGATGAATTATAGTCAGAGCTGCATCAAACACAGTGTCAAACAAATAATTGCAAATATTATTCAGCAAAGAAATATAATCATAATTTACTTTAAAGTTAACATAACATTTTTACAACTTTATAGTTTTAACATACTTTTTACCAACAATATTTACAACATATATTTATGTCATATCTTATTGTTTAGTAACCAGTCAACTGTAATACAATGCAATCATCTTTCATTTAAAACACAACAGTCTTTTGTTGCCTTTCACACCTTCACACCTCTGTTCAATTTATACAAAAGTAAATAACAACTTTTTATGGTGCTAACAATATCACTTGAAGTAGGATTATATAGAATAGAAGCAATTAATTAGTGATTATTTTGCTCTTTTACTAGTAAATACAAAGTAATAAAATATTTTAATAAGGATATTTTAGGGTAAAGAGTTATTAAGTCTGTTTATCTCAATCTAATTTTTACTTAAAAGTCTTTGGTGCTTTTTATGATGAATACAATGTTAACATTTGAAGGAATATTGCAGCAATTTATCTATAGATCTATAAGACTTTTTCACAAAAGTAAAATAATGTAATTTACAGCTTTATTTTATGAGAAAAATTGATGCTATTTTTATCAAAATCAAAAGTACTGCCTAGTAATGCAGTAGCAGTACCACTTTTTAAGACAGTAATGCAGTACCAGTACCAGTAGTAGCAAAATTTTGTAAGAGTAATTCAGTATCAGTACCAGTACTTGCAAAATCGCTGCAGTACGTACTGCAGTACCAGTACCAGTAATGCAGCTCTGATTATAGTATATAAAAATAAACCTATATAGGAAAATACATACAGATAGTCAGTATGATTTAGATTGCAAAGATCAGAAAATACCACAGAGCTTGCATCCCTTTGATTAAATAGTTTCAATATTATTTGTATCATATGAGGTGAAATCTTCACTTGCTTTGCTTTGCATTTGTTTGTCTGTCGGTCCGTAGACCAAATGGTTTCTGATCAATAACTGAGGAACTTAAAACTTGGTATGATGATTGTTCATGACAGGAAGATGACCCCTATTGATTTTGGGGTCAAGGGATCAAAGGTCAAGGTCAAATCAATCTTGTAGGTGATCAATAACTAAAGAACTCTTAGGCAAAGGAACTTCAAACTTGGTATGATTGTTCATGACCAGTAGATGACCCCTATTGATTTTGGGGTCAAGGGGTCAAAGGTCAAGGTCAAATTTACCTTGTAGGTGATCAATAACTAAAGAATGCTTAGGCCTAGGAACTTCAAACTTGGTATGATGATTGTTCATGACCAGCAGATGACCACTTTTGATTTTGGGGTCAAGGCCACATTGACATTGTAGATAAAAACAATTTCCAATCAATTATTTGACAACCCATGGGCAGTTGACCCTCAAACTTTGTAGGTGCATTGGACTTGGCCAGTAGATGATAACCTTGGTCAAGGTTCTATTGACCTTGTAGGTAAAAGGGCTTCTAATCAATAACTTGACAAGCTTTGGGCTGTTGGCCCTCAAACTTTGTAGGTGCGTTGGCCTTGACAAGTAGATGATCCCTATTGATTTTGGGGTCAAGTGGTCAAGGTCATATTGAACTTGTAGGTAAAAACGGTTTCCTATCAATAACTTGACAAGTCATGGGCATTTGGCCCTCAAATTCTGTATGTGCATTGGTCTTGGCAAGTAGATGACCCCTTTTGATTTTAGGGTCAAGGGATCAAAGGTCAAGGTTCAATCCCTGTATGTCAAAACGGTTTCCTATCAATAACTGGACAACCCATGACCTTTAAACTTCACAGTTCTTTTGATCAGAAGATGAACTCAATGGATTTTTTGGGTCAAGTAATCAGAGGTCAAGATCACATTGGCCTTTTAGGTAAAAGCGCTTTCTGATCAATATCTCAACAACTCATGGGCCTTTTACCTTCAAATTTCACAGGTGCATAGGTCTTGGCCAGTAGATAATCCCTATTGATTTAAGGGTCAATGGTCAAGGTCATATTGAACTTGTAGGTAAAAACTGTTTCCTATCAATAACTTGACAAGCCCTGGGCCTTTGGCCCTCAAATTTTTAAGGTGCACTGGTCTTGGCAAGTAAATGACCCTTTTGATTTTGGGGGTCAAAGGTCAAGGTCACAGTGACCCTGTATGTCAAAACGGTTTCCTATCAATAACTGGACAACCCATGAACCCTTGACATTCAAACTTCACAGTTCATTTGATCAGAAGATGACCTCAATGGATTTTTGGGGTCAGAGGTCAAAATCACATTGACCGTTCACCTCTAAATGACAATGACAGTCAAGGTCAAATTATTGAATTGCTTAAATTGTCATAACTTTGTTATTTATTGTTTTATTTTATTCATACTTGGACAAAAATAACACTTTTGGCCATACTGAATTACTCAAATACAACTTTTTTAAATGACCTTGACTGTCAAGGTCAAGTTATAGAAATATGTTTAGTTATGACAGTTTGGTTGTACATATTTGATACATACTTTAAAATAAAAAAAACACCACAAATCCATAAACGTATTACATTGATTTGTAAATGTCGAGGTCAAATATGAAATTTTATTAAATTGTTAAAACAGGGTTTTACATCTCTTTGATATTTTAGGGGTCCAGTGGATGCACAGCCTAGAAAAGTAGGGGTCCAGGCCTAAATTTTACGGGTCCAAAATTATGTTCACTGAAAAAGACTATGAAGGCTCAAAATCATTTTTTTATCCAGTAAGAAATATGCATGTACATTTATATTGTACTGTTTTTATAAGTAGTACATGATTTCAATATCTGTTATCACTTTAGTTTGGTTGTTATTATCACGGGGGAGGAAATGTTACACGAGGGATGGAGTTCTTGTGATAACTGTCACAAAGTTCGTCGAAAAACTATTGTATATTCTGCAAAAACACTCGTCAAAAATGGTAATTTCCATCTTTAAAAAGTGAGTTTTAGGTGCTAAATTACATAATTACCTAATTATACTGCAAAATTGCAAACATAAAGCCTCGGCTAACAAATTTATACCCGATTTTTCAAATGTTCCGGAGTTCAAAATATGTCCTCGAGTTCTTATGATAACTTTTGTTACTGTCAATGTGTTTCTTGCGCTAAATCACCGCACGTTTTAGCGTTTTTACACGTTTTTTCTGTGAAATAGTTGTAAAATCCGACTTCAAATAACGAAGTTATGGGCCGGACACGGTTTTGCTGCTGCAAGGTCATGCTGTGACTTTGACCTTCAAGGTAGCGACCCAAATGTTGCGTGCAACACATTGTCTCAATATGGTGATCATTTCTGTGAAATAGTTGTAAAATCCAACTTCAAATGAAGTTAAGGGCGGGACATGATATTGCTGCAAGGTCATGCTGTGACCTTGACCTTCAAGGTAACGACCCAAATGTTGCGCACAACACATCATCTTAATATGGTGATCATTTCTGTGAAATAGTTTTAAAATCAGACTTCAAATAACGAAGTTATGGGCCGAACACAATTTTGCTGCAAGGTAATGCTGTGACCTTGACCTTCAAGGTAGCGACCCAAATGTTGCGCGTGACACGTCTCAATATGGTGATCATTTCTATGAATCAGACTTCAAATAACGAAGTTGTGGGTAGGACACGATTTTGCTGCAAGGTCATGCTGTGACCTTGACCTTCAAGGTAGCAACCCAAATGTTGCGTGCGACACATTGTCTCAATATGGTTATCATTTCTGTGAAAAAGTTTTAAAATCCGACTTCAAATAACAAAGTTAATATTTGTGTGACTTCAGGTGAACAACGCATGTCTAAAATGTGAATTTCGGGACGTAAATACAGTTGCACAGAATAGTACTGGACGGACAGACAACCCAGCAACTATTTGCTCCCCTGAAATTTTTCGGGGAGCATTAAAATAGATTTTACAGTAAACGTCATCAGTTACTGTAGCTTGCATGGTAAACGTAATCAGGTTCTGCAGCTGGCACTTGCCAATAGCATGCGCAGTAGACTTCAATTATGTTACCTTCAGAAATGAACAAATGCGAGCATTTTCTGCTTGTTGTATTAGATTTTAACTGGAATTTTGCGAGCTTCAAGAAGATAGAGATAAAATCACATGGGGTCAGAAACAATAAAAAATATTGTCTAAGATTATTTTTGTGCGTACACTTGGACGCAAGTGGATAACTTATATGCGTACATGTCAAAATTTATGCGTAAAGGGGCGCATAATTCTGCGTCCCGTAAAACCCTGTAAAAAAGACATTAATTCTTTGAAATTCTCTTAAATAGGTATGTTCTTCCTCTAATGTGTTTGTCTTTGGGACTAAGAGAAGGATGAGTGTGACCCCTACTCAGCGATTGTTCTTCTTATTGCTTTGCAATAATTGAGATTATTAATTTGCTTTTTTTAGTTTTTAGTAGAAATGGAATTAAAGGACTGCCTAGATGAATCCTGCTACACCCATCTCAGTGATTTTGTTGATGGCAACATCCGTGATGTAACGACTGAAAACATTGTCTTGAAAAAGTGAGTTTTTCTATATCGTGGTTCAGCTTTATCCCTATTCTGTCACTATCATTCATTTACAGATTTAATGAATATGTGGACTCAATGAAATATCTTGACTGCGCTCAAGGTGTTTCATGAAATTCCTGGCCATGTCTTTTCTAAACAAAAAGACAGATTTACAAGTTGCAAGGCCTATATGAATCTTACACCGGCTGCCGGTACAGACCGGAATATCTAGCTCGAGGGTGACCGTTTACGGCGGTAATGAGGCTGCCGAGTTTCCGCTAAACAGTTACCTGAGAGCTAGATATTCCCGTCTGCACCGAAAGCCGGTGTTTGATTCTTTTTCTTGCATATTACATATCAATTATTTTCAGAACAGAAACTCGAAAACTGATATTCTCATTATGCACTTTTTAGCTCGACTATTCGATAAGAATAAGTAGAGCTATTGTAGTCACCCGAGCGTCGGCGTAACCACTTATGTTAAAGTTTTTGTAATAGTTCAAATATTTTCAAAGTCCATTGACATATGGCTTTGAAACTTTGCACACTTGTTCATTATCATGACCCCAACCTGTAGACAGGAGGAGGTAACTCTATCAAGCATTTTGACAGTATAATGCCCCTTTTTCAACTTAGAATTTACGTTAAAGTTTTTGTAATACCTCGAATATTTTCAAAGTCCATTGACATATGGCTTTGAAACTTTGCACACTTGTTCACCATCATGACCCCAACCTGTAGACAGGAGGAGGTAACTCTATCAAGCATTTTGACAATTATGCCCCTTTTTCGACTTAGAATTTACGTTAAAGTTTTTGTATCGACTATTCGATAAGAATAAGTAGAGCTATTGTAGTCACCCGAGCGTCGGCGTAACCACTTATGTTAAAGTTTTTGTAATAGTTCAAATATTTTCAAAGTCCATTGACATATGGCTTTGAAACTTTGCACACTTGTTCACCATCATGACCCCAACCTGTAGACAGGAGGAGGTAACTCTATCAAGCATTTTGACAAAATAATGCCCCTTTTTCAACTTAGAATTTACGTTAAAGTTTTTGTAATACCTCGAATATTTTCAAAGTCCATTGACATATGGCTTTGAAACTTTGCACACTTGTTCACCATCATGACCCCAACCTGTAGACAGGAGGAGGTAACTCTATCAAGCATTTTGACAATTATGCCCCTTTTTCGACTTAGAATTTACGTTAAAGTTTTTGTAATAGTTCAAATATTTTCAAAGTCCATTGACATATGGCTTTGAAACTTTGCACACTTATTCACCATCATGACCCCAACCTGTAGACAGGAGGAGGTAACTCTATCAAGCATTTTGACAGAATTATGCCCCTTTTTCGACTTAGAATTTACGTTAAAGTTTTTGTAATAGTTCAAATATTTTCAAAGTCCATTGACATATGGCTTTGAAACTTTGCACACTTGTTCACCATCATGACCCCAACCTGTAAACAGGAGGAGGTAACTGTATCAAGCATTTTTTTTTACTATCAAGCACTAAGAATAGTCGAGCGTTGCTGTCCTACCGACAGCTCTTGTTTCTTATAGTAGCGTATGAACTTACAACTTCATTCATAACGGTTACGTGTAAGTGACGTCATCCTAAGAACGCAATTCATTCATAAAATGCGCGCGGCAATGACATCATTAAAGCGCCCGACTTGTCTTACATGGGGTGTGTAAGACAGGGATTTCTTAGCACCGGTGTAAACGGTAGATAATCCTGTCTGATATGCAAGAATAAATCCAACTTACACACCCTTACTATTTGCTGACAATTATAACTCACAATTTAATCAAACAAAGATATTTTTAACATAGAGCATATACAGGTATATGCTTTTATCAATGTTCTGCTTTAAAATATGTCTTTCTGGTTGTAATAACGTCTGTCCTACTTTAAACATAGCAACTACCTAGAGTTTATAGTGAAGACATCCTAATATCCCTGGTAAAATTCACTCTAGTGCGATTAATCAGATGATTAAATCCCAATCCAAACTAATCTGTCTTTGTGTTGTGCTTTTAGCAATATCATAATTACTCAATTGGGGAAATGTCAAAATATAGCTGATTATTCTCTACAAACAATGAAAAAATTCATTTTACGTTGGTAATCCAAAGCTTGCATATAGTGACAGTTTATATCAAGTTTGCATTTAACATTTTTTATTAACTTGAGTTCATTTAGCAATTTTAATTATTACTAATAAAGGGATACTTAAATCAGAGCTCAAAGCAAAAAAATTGTTTTAATACTGCAAATATTCTAGAGTGTTTAACATGTTATGAATTACATAATTTAATATGCCAAACAACTTTTAAAATTTCATGTTACACTTCAAGTATCCTCTTATCATATTTTAAACATATTCTAATGTAAAAATAATTGAAAAAAAAACCCTGCTTAGGTTATTAAACCCACCGACAAACGAAGTCTAAGGGGTATTCTGGAGTCAGCTGGTGGTCGGTCTGTCCGTCGGATGCAAATTTCTGGTCCGGGACATAACTCTGAAACTACAAGAGATATCAACTTCAAATTTTGTAAGTAGAAGTGCAGTGCAAAAGAATCGTAACCTTGCCTTGCCTTATTTTGGATTTATTGCCCTTTGTTTAATTTTACGCTTTGAACTTTGTCCAGGACATAACTCTTAAACGACAAGGGGTATTAATTAATGAACAAGAAACTTTGTAGGTAGATAGATCTCATTGAGTAGAAGTGCAGTGCTAGAACTGTAACTCTGCCTTGCCTAATTTTGGAGTTATTGCCCTTTGTATATTTTACACTTTGAAATTGTGCAGGACATAACTCTAAAACCACAAGGGGTATTAACAAGAAACTTTGTAGTTAGATAGATCTCAATGAGTAGAAGTGCAGTGCAAAAGAATCATAACTCTGCCTTCCCTAATTTTGGAGTTATTTCCTTTTGTTTGTGTTTTTACACTTTAAACTTTGTCCAGGACTATAAAAGGTATCAACTTAAAACTTTATAGGTATATAATGAGTAGAGGTGCAGTTAATAAGACCCTTAACCCTCTCATCCCAAATTTAGGAGTTTTTGTCCTGTGTTCATTTTTAGTCTTTGAATTTTGTCCTGGACATAACTTGAGAACTATAAAAGGTATCAACTTGAAACTTTGTAGATAGATAGATCTCACTGAGTAGAAGTGCAGTGCGGAAGCACCCCTTATTTGGAGTTATTGCCCTTTGTTCATTGTTACACTTTGAACTTTGTCCAGGACACAACTTGAAAACTAGGAAAAGTATCAACATGAAACTATGCAGGTAGATAGATCCCACTGAGTATAAGTGCAGAAATCTCAGGGATAAAGAACGAATTGCCCTTCAAAGAAGTCATGTAAACTTCAAATCCAAACTTGATTTATCTTATTGATGTAGGACAAATAAATCCAAAACATTTGAAAAAAAAAATGTATAAACTACTGCATTCTCCCAATGTGCAAAATCATTAACTAAAAAGCATGTTTTCTGACAAACACATGTCTGGTGTATTCTGACAATTTCTAGTTCATTATATTTTATCGTTTCCGCACTACTTTTCTGCAACTACTGGCTGGATATCAATTTGCTTTGTTCAAGTCAGACATTTTTACTCAGAGTTATTGCCCTTGCTTAGTTATGCAGTATGTGTCATAGGGTTAATGTATAACTATGTTATAACATGTATGTTTTTGTATACTTTAATGTTTATTGTGTTTCAAATACATAAAAAAAAAATACAACTAGTCATAATAACATAATATTGCAATCAAATAGTACATATAGAACAATAATTGTTTCCGCGCTACTTCTCTGCAACTGCTGGCTGGAATTCAACGAAACATTTTGGGAACCTTCAATATCAACAGGATATGTGCATATTGTCGCCTTGTTCCGGTCAGATACTTTAACTTAAGAGTTATGACCCTTGATTAATTATGCAGTATGCATATAGAGCAATTATTGTTTCCGCGCTACTTCTCTGCAACTACTGGCTAGAATTCAAAAAAACTTTAGGGAACCTTTAATATCAAGAGGAGATGCGCATATTGTCGGCTTGTTCTAGTCAGACCCTTTATCTCAGAGTTATGGCCCTTGATTAGTTATGCAGAATGCATATAGAGCAATGATCGTTTTCGCCCTTCTTCTCTGCAACTACTGGCTGGAATTCAACAAAACTTTATGGGAACCTTCAATACCAAGTGGAGATGCGCATATCGTTGCCTTTTTCCGGTCAGACACTTTAACTTGATTAGCTATGCAGTATGCATATAGAGCAATAATTGTTTCCATTAACTACTTGCTGGAATTCAACAAAACTTAATGGGAATCATTAATACCAAGAGGAGATATGCATAATTTGTTGCATTGTTCAGACCAGACCTATCATTACAGAGTTATGGCCCTTGATAAGTTATGTAGTATCTATTTAAAGCAATATTGCTATTTCTTTGCAACTGCTGTATTGATTTCAACAAAACTTTATGGGAACCATCAATACAAAAAGGCAATTTACATCTCATTGGCATGTCCAGATGTTACTATTTAACACGGTGTTATGGCTCTGTTATTGCCCTGAATATTTGTCCTGTACAAAGAATATTATTGTTTACGCCATGATAAGTTTATATAAATAAAGCCTTATGTTTTCAATTGTTGTGTTAGTAATAACCAGTACTGGGCAGGGGATATAAATTCATCGAATTTGATTGTTTTTCCATTTATAACTGAACACTTCCATGTACCCATTTATAGCATGTTTCTGTAACAAAATTACCAATAGGATGAGTCAAGGGCTAGAAAGGGGGAGCATATGTGTCGTTCGACATTTCTTGTTTTTGCTTTTTGATCCCCTTGGGAGTAGGTCACTTAAAATAGAAAAATAGTTTTTTCAGAATTATAACTACAGTTAGGCATGAGATATTGTAATTAAATTTGGTATTTAGCAAGCTTATACGAAGACCCCCGGCTCGGTTTGCTTTTGTACCCCCTGGGATTAAGGGTCATTGTTACTAAAAATAATAATTAATTAGAAATTAGTTAAGAATTATTTTACATATTTGATACTTAAGAATTATAGGCTGAGTTAAAATTTTGCTTTAGACAACTTAAATTTCCGAAAAGTCAAGGCTGGAGGGGGTATTAATCACTTTCAGTCATAGCTCTAGTTACAACAAGTAGGGAGTCCTTACACTGTGGTATGCATGACCCCTTTGTTTTTAGGGTTTAGGCCCCAGGGAGAGGATATGTTGCACAATATAATATAATATATATAATATTATACATAATATTATTTAAAGACAGTGCATTGAAATTTAAATATTTATTGATGTTTGATGGTTTTAATCAATGTATTAAAGTTATTTACGCAAAAAAGACACTATATACCTGTATTCTGCTGTAGAATACTCGGGTGACCGTTAAGACCCATGGGCCTCTTGTTTATTTGAAACAAACAACCTTTGTCTAATTGTAACGATTAATTTAATTAACGGCTAATGAAGTTTAAGGTCAATTCAATGCAGTCTACATATCAACAGAGAAGTGTATACACCATCACAATAGAGGCACAGTTTGGTTTGTTCTATTGATTTTATTGGATAATACGTATGATGCGGCATCATAAGCATACTTAAGCCAAAAAATGGTTAAGGAAATAAAGGTTTTCACACATTTGTGACATCATGAGGCAGCGTTCTACAAAAACGCAAACACTTGACAGGTTAAAGTGGTCACTTGATAAAAAGATTGATCTCAATTATTTACATAATTAGCGGTGGCGTTGAGCAAAAGTTGCTTAACACAGTAAAGATATAGAGAGAAAATGATCGAGGGAAATTACAGTGGTCTGTTTTGCTTTAACTCTCAATGAAGTATTTCACTTATATATTTCTGTAGTTCTATGAAAGCATTAGATGAAACTTGTAAAATAAAACATTTGAAATGGCTTTTCAAATTTGCAAAAACTTTTGATCATTGGTTGTAAGTAAGAATTCTAGTACAAAATGTTAACAATATAAAGACAATTTACTTTTAATACACAGGACATATTTGAATAATAAACAATTGTTATTCTAGATTGTGTAATTTTGTTGAGGAAAGCTCCAAACAAGAGGCATGGGATGAAATACATGAAGAAAAGACATTTTTTACATCTATCTTAGTAAAAGTACAACTGCTGAAGACACTGAAGAGTAAAATTACAAAAATAAGCAAAATCAAATACACATTTGATGAAACACATGATCTTCTGCCAAAGGAACCAAAATCGAGGCTACAGTTATTGTTAGAAAGGAGAAGAAAACCAGCAGATGTTAGAATTAAACATGTGAAATGGAGTAAATTAAAACAAGATAGTTATGACACAGTAAAGAGTAAAGAATGCCTTGAAAAACATTCAAAAGAGCTTGGTCAGTTTGAAGAGAATCTGACATGTGTATATAAGAAATTAAAGAGATTGATGGAAAGGCAGGGAGTGTCTCAGGCAATAAAAGCATCAGAGATTTTGGCTCAAGCAGTTTTGCACCCACATGTAATTGTCTTGCCTGGTAAAGTTAATGAGCCTGGAATGTACACATTTGACAATTATCTTAACCTAAAGGTTTGTTTATGTTTGAAATTCAGTTCTAAATCCATTACTTATTTTAAATACTGGTAAAGACATACAAACTCTATTAAGACCCCACTTAAAAAGTGGGAACATACTGAAATACACACCTAGGTCACCACTTTCTTGTCTGATCAGTAATTTAAAGAGGAATTAGTGCTTATTTCTGTTACTTGGTAGGGACATTATCCAAAGCCAGTTGATGACCCCTATTGATTTTTAGGTCAAAGTCCCAGTAACCTTGACCAATAAAAGCTTGTCAGACCAATAACTAGCAATAACTTTACTTTTTTCCTAAGATTTGGTGTGGAGGTTGGTTATAACTAGTGAATGACCCCTATTGATTTTAAGGTCAATCGGTTAAAGGTCAAGGTTATGATGGCCTTGACCCCTGTAAGCTTGTCTGGCCAATTACTAGAGAACAATTTGGCCAACAGTCTTGAGATTTGGTTTGATAGTTTATCATTGCTTTTGAGGTAAAAGTCTATAGCTTTGACCACAAAAAGCTTGTCTAACCAATAACTAAACTGGCCAGACATTTTATTTGCTTTTCATTCATTGCTAACAATATTAATTAAGAGCTTTAAGAATCACATGAGCGATATAAGGGCCATCATGGCCCTGTTGTTTTACTTAGCAAGTATACTGTAAACAAAGACTTTAATATCAGATTATGTAGGAGATAAATTGGGGCATAGTGGAAATGTTCCATATTTTTGAGTTAAGCAAGTTAATTGTGCGTTCTACTGTATTCATCATTCTTTTCTTAATACTAATTTTTTGTTGATAACTGTGTTGTTAAACAGTTTCATTGCATTCATGCTGAGCTTTTTTATATTTATATACATGTTGTTGTTAATTATATATGCATGTACATTTCTTTATTTAGAGAACAGAGGTGATACTGGCCCAGTTTTATGAGGCAGTAGGGAAAGATCTGATGTCTTTTCTGCTGACTACTTGTATAAAAGACCATAAGTTAAATAGTGAAAAGCTTAAGCATCCTGATACAGTTCTCAATGACATCATTATAAAGGTATAAGCTCTAGAATATTCCTTACTTTTGAGTCAAGATTTGAACCAGCAAAACAAAAGATCATTGTTTTCTTTATTGAACACTTTAAGTTCTAATCTGTTTTGTTGTAACTTTTTAAGCTTTTTCTTAACTCATTTGTTTTATATAAAGTAAACAATGTAAATTAGTTATAATGAGGTGATATTTCAGTAAATATTTATTTTAGGCAGATACAATGGCACAGCTACTATATCATGACATTGAGAGTGTGATGCATGACTGTGTTAAGATGGAACAATATCTGATTGGTCGCTCACAATTAAGGGCAGCTGCTAATTCAGCTGTCAACCGTTTATTACAGACATCAGTTCTACAGAAGTGGAGTGATCTTGATGTTACAGTATGTAGAACTTCCATGACATTGACGCTTTTTTTGCCCCTGGGGATGTGACAAGTTAACAAACATTTGCATCCTTTTCCCCCAGTTATTTTCCATTTTTACAAAAAAAATCAAGCTTTATAATTGCAACAGTCATTGTTATCATTTGTATGGTAAGCACATAAGGGGAAAAATATAGGTTTCCATCTAAAAAAATCATAACCAAACACTTATGATACACATCTTTCCCCTTAGCCTCCACTTTGTTTGGTCATATTTGATAAATAAATAAAGAACTTAATGAGTTTTAATATTTGAATGGAGAGATTTATTTACTATTTCTTCTGGCTGTGTTACCAAATCATGACATCAAAGTCACTTGGTATTAAGGTAATAGCACACTGTATTACACTGGCCACCGACGGGATTACATAATATATAGGGTACTTATAATAGAATTTTTTGATGCCCATCTTGAAACAGACCATTAACTGGCAGGGTTATAATATATAAAAGTGACAGTCATAACAGTACTGTAATACTGAAAACAAGTGTTCACATGCACCAGGTCTCTAGGTAAAAGGTCAAGGTCATACTTAAACTTAAACATGAATTGATGGATTTTATTATTATTTGGCACAATTAAATGTTTACCATATTGATATGGAGTGTTATACAAAAAATTCACATACCTGTGGCTTAATGTCAAGGTTACATGCAGAGATTGAAAAAAAAATTGTGTGTATGGAATATTTTTGTCATCATGAATATAATGTGTCTAATGTAAATATTCACGACAGCATATTAAGACTGTTTGTGATGGATATGGTTCTCTTGTTGTTTCTGATAACAATACATTAAGTGTTGCCATTCCTTATTTATAATACATCATCCATTTGCATTTCACACTGGCAAAACTCTTAATTTGTAGTTTATATCTATATTTGCCTTTCATTTGACACTTTAGCTTCCAAAGTTTTTTTTTTCAAGTTTGTTTATTATATTGTATATTCTAGTAAGTATATATCCAAGGACCCCATTGGAAATAAGCCTTCGGGCTTTCATGGGAAATCCGAGGTTATTGCACACTACTATATACATGCTTCCACTTACGTCGTCACATTATATTTAATAACTGGTAAATTGATATCTTGTCATAGGAAAGAAAGATTTTTAGATTTTGTACTTTATTATTATATTTTATTATTTAATGAGCCTCCTGTGATATTTATGTTTGACAAACTTCCGAAATATTTAATTACAATTGTGTCATCAGTTTTATATAAAATGTATAAGTGTTTGTATTATTTATATGTGTGTTTTAACCTGAATAAATATCTATCTAGCACTGTATTTGATAATTTGCATAAGCACTGGGTCCTGACACAAGTAACGAAAATTGTTCCACAACGAAAGCATGTGAAGGTTGACCTTCGAAAGTTTGTTTACATATCTCCGGTAGATGTGCGTGTCCCGATTTCTTAGATCTGTTGCTTATGTATTCGAGGTTCATGGATTGTTCTTAGAGCAACTATTGTATTAAAAGTGATATAATGGTAAATATCTATTATTACTGTTTTGTTTGTCTTATTTATTAAACGTTAAACAGTCATATTATACAAAATAAACATGTCATGCTTTTTGATACTTTAATTTTAGTATAAGTAACATATTCCACGATGAAATTCATTGTTAATGTTTCTTGATGTTGGAAATATGGAAAAATACTAATAATATACAAGTTTTATTTAATTTCTTTGCTAGAAAAGCTAAGAAACGTTTTTTTTGCCTTGAGTAAGTTTATCACAGAGTATGTGTATGTTGCTCAACGAAAACAGTTTTCATGAGGACGTAAATTAACGAAAACATTTCATATTTCAGAGGCCTGGCCATGCTGCGAGTCTGCCCTCATTGCAGTCTCATTCAAAAGCCTGATTTTAAGCAATTTTACGTCACAGAGCTTATGAGCACCCCAAGGACTACCTTCACTACATGATTGAGTCAGAAGGGCTTATAAAGTGCCGTATTAGCAAAGAGTGTATGAAGATTTAAAATATTTACCCCAGATGTTGCTCCAAAGGCAGAGGAATTGACATTTGATAAAATAAGTGGTAAATCATTAAGTTCTATGTATCATACATTTGACATTCCTAAGTGATAAGGAAGCCAAAAAGAAAATAGGCCAACATACCAGTCTACAGAATGCCATCAGGAGGCAACCAGCCAGTAAGACAGCTCCACAAAACAGATTCTTCGGCCACATACAACATGGGCTTAATTATCACATCATACAGGTGTTAGAAAAACAATTTGTAAACATATAAATGATCCAAAGTTGTATAATAGTATTAGTTAAACAAATTGCTTATCTGATGTACAGGAGAATATAGAATGGATGAGAGTAATTAAGATAGGCCAAGGCACTAGTCAAATATTATATGTCAGTCAGGCTATGTTTTCCCGTTTAACCGTCAGCAGCTTGTATAAATGAGTTTTAATAAGACAATATTTTCTTTATTTTCTCAAGATAATAGAAGTCTATCAAGAGTATAATATAACGCACATATAAGCACAAAGGAAGCGGCTAATTTCTTACAGTGTTATTCGGTGTTCGTGAGAAATTCACTGCATGAATTTTGAAAACGAAATTTAAAATGGACATATTAATAAAGGCGTAGTATGTTTTTTCAAATGTTTTGTTTAAATTCAATGATAGCTACATATATTTATATAAATGTACATTTAAATTAAACAAAAACTTCTTAGTGCAAAGTGTTAACTCCCATTATGTACTCTTCAAATAGGATGTACGCGAAAATGGAAGTAGAAATAATTAATGCTTGATGGTGTTGGATTTCTCAATTTGTTCTGTACCGGTTATAACGAGACCCGCTTATAACTTGGAACTATGCAAAGTCCCGTCGATCTCGTTGTATGCGGAATGCACTGTAATAATCTTTTGCACTGTAAATTTTTATATAGTTTAAAGGCACATTATTCGTCAGAAATAAATACAGAATAGGGAAGTGGGGCCTGTTGACATATCGTAAATTAGGAAAGTAGCATTGATGACGTCAGATTGTCTGCGAGATCAAAGGTGTCAACTGCAAGCAGGATCTTTGGAAATTTTTGGGAGGTGTAGATCAAAGGTATCATGGGTTGACAGAATGATGATGTGTTAAAACAAGATTTGCTAGATTTTTTTACATCATTTGAAGAGAGAGAATTGTTTTTATTTGTTTTTATAATCTTTATTTTATCTTTATTAAACGCCCCCCTTTTGAAAAATGTTACGCCCCGAGGGCGTAAACGCGGGATTTTATGGTAATTACTTCTTTGCCATAGAAGCAAAAGGCGACTGCTATTTGGCTAATAAGCTCTATTTAGGAAACTAAAACAAAACATTAAGAGTGAAAGGCTTTTGAAAAATATGAATTTTAACACTTTTGGGGCTCAAGGGCCTTTAATGAATTAATGGTATTTGAATCGAGAAATACGCCTTAGGAAATAAAACACAATAGGATAATTGACATGCATGTTCACTAGTCTATGAAGCAAGGAAAGAAAAACATGTAATTTGTGTGACTTTCTTTTCCTCATGGTATATACAGCAGAATACAATTTGAGACATAGTTTATTACAAGGAGAATTTAAAGCTTCAACAATGTTCTAAGAAATGTAAGGCTTATAGTAGTGTATACTCTATAAATGTTGACATGATTTTCCTTAGTTAAGCTTAAGTTTTCAAAATTTTCAACACATTAACATGATTAAACATAGCCATGAAACATTAACTTGAAAACACTGTTAAAAGTGTCCAATCCTTTTTAGATATTTAAATTTAAGCCATCCTGAAATGTAAGGAAAATAGCTAAGCTGTTGTCTGTACTAAACATGCTCCCTCTCTGTGAGCAACACTCTCACAGATATCGTTTTCGTTTAGTCAATGCGTTACTTTATTTTAAAAAAAAATGCTTATCTATAAAACATAAACTATACAGGTATGGTTTTCTAGAATAAATACTTCAAGCAATAATGCATATGTTATTTAATTAATCAAAAAATTGCTTTCAACACAGTTCTCATACACTCATTCAAAATTGTCTTTTGCAAATATCTAAACAGCAAAATCTCTTTCAGTTATTTTAAACAATAAAAATTACAGCCTTGATTGCACTAAAAGTGTGTATTTAACTGGATTTCTGATTAGATAATGTGTATCTCTGAATGCTCAAGGTTGTGAAATGAAAATATTATATGTATTTGGATTTTTATTTTTAGAGAAACATTCTTGCACTTTCGTTTAAAAATTGTCGTTACTTGCGTCAGGACCCAGTGATAAGTATAATTTAGTTTATGTATGAAATGTTAATGCGTTTTTTAATGTAGAGCTGTACACCATCTAAAGTGTTGAAGTCAAATAAAATGCAAGATACAGCTATAAGAAACCAGGAAATACCTAATCGTTGTAAGAACAGAACCTATCTGGATCACAATAACAGCAGTCCTGATGTAATAAACTTAGAGGTTGATGCTAGAAAAATCACCCTGACAGATATCATGGAAGGTAATGTTTGATTTCCTCTATCACGGTGCTTAATCGTTCCGGGCTGATTTGGAATATTTATTTTCCGTTCCTGAAATGATTTGCATTTATTGGCACCGGTTGATTCAGATAAAATGAAAATTTTCATAAGTTTTATTGTAGAAACTTAGAATCTGGTATTTCTTATAATGATGCTGTTTTTGGAACATAGAATATTTTTTGGGGTATTAAACTTGGAAAATATTTGTTTTTTGTTGCCTTTAAAGATGCTATTTTGTACATGTGAAGCCGAAGGCTTGATGAAAAATAATGGACCCCCATCCAAGCTTTAGTGCAGGATGGAGGGCATTATTTGAATAAAGCCGGAGGCTGAGCATGTACAAAATAGCATTTCATTTTGAATTTATGGTTTAAGTCGCGTATTCAAAGGTTTAAATTTCCCGCTATATCACGGACATGCGCGTGACTACCGGAAGTAATAACCGGAAGCATGAAACACATGTTTTCACTCATTTAAAGAGTGTTTTTTGTTGCAATAAAGCAACTAAGGGAGGGTTAAAACCTCTCTATATTATATAATAAGACATTAATCACATACTATGATACTATACACAAGGGAGGGTTTGTACATGCTCAGCCTCCGGCTTTATTCAAATAATGCCCTCCATCCTGCACTAAAGCTTGGATGGGGGTCCATTATTTTTCATCAAGCCTTCGGCTTCACATGTACAAAATAGCATCTTTAAAGGCAACAAAAAACAAATATTTTCCAAGTTTAATACCCCAAAAAATATTCTATGTTCCAAAAACAGCATCATTATAAGAAATACCAGATTCTAAGTTTCTACAATAAAACTTATGAAAATTTTTAGATGATTTCCAATCAGCAGTTTTTAAAATCTCCCTTATTGAACATCCTTTATTTAGGCAGCCGAAGCTGATGCTCCTCTATAAGAATGTGCCTTATATTTAGTTATATCAATCCCTGCTAAACTTAACACATTTTTTAACCATCTTGCCAAAGTGCTCGAAGAAACAGCATTAAAGGTAACATATGAAACAAACACCTTTTTACTTTTTCTAATATCAGCAGTCTTTTTAACATAATAAAGTAGAGTATGCATTGGACATATATTTTCTTCCAGATAATGCTCTATCCTTATAGAGTAATATTGACCTGTCTTGGATGTCTTCAAAATATCCGTGAATGTGAAAACAACTGCCTGTTGTTGAATAAAACATATTGTCTAAAGTTAAAGAACACAAAGTCTGAGCTCTTGGTGCAGTTGCAAGAGCAAACAAGGCTAAGGTTTTAAAAGTTAATAATTTCAAAGATAACCTAGATAATGGCATTAACTTTTGTAAATAACACAAAACAACAGAAACATCCCAAATCATTATATAACGCGGTTTAGCCGGTTTATGTAAAAATACACTTCTCATGAATCTTACAACCATTTTGTTGTCACTGCACCATGTATTTCCCAATAAGGACAATGTTTGCATTAACATCGCTTTATGAAGATTTATAACGGAATAAGACATACCAGATTGAAATAAAAATACAGGTAACTCACGACTACACCTTCAGACGAACAAATTGGACTGGAACATCTAATAGAATTCCACATATACCATCTTTTCCAGGCACTGCTATACTGTTTTCTTGTGCCCTGTGACCAAGATTCTGCGATGAAATCTGCAACAATTGATGAAATTCCCTTACTCTGCAGGCTTTCCCTGATAACACCACTCCAATCATTTTTTAATTTTCTTCCTAATGGGTGTAATGTTCCATTGTGCGGCAACACTAGAAGATCTCTGTGTCTGGGTAACCTGATAGGAAAATCACAAAGGTTTTCAAGTAGAATAGGGAACCAAGGTTGTGTGAACCAAAAAGGAACAATCATTAGAGCTCTATCAACCTCATCAATAACAATTTTATTTAGTACTTTCCCAATTAAATTAAATGGAGGAAAAATGTATGGTATCATATCCTTCCATGATAATGAAAAAGCATTAACTGCGTAAGCCCCTGGTTCGGGAAACCATGAAACAAATTTAGGTAAGTGATTATTAAGTCTAGAAGCAAAAAAGGTCTATGTTAGGCATAAATGTGTGTCTACATAATCTTTCAAAAATATCTTTTTTCAATGTCCATTCAGTGGAATCTGAAAAATTTCTAGAATAATAATCAGCACTTTTATTTAATTTACCAGGGACATGTACAGCAGAAATATATATATTTCTACTTAAACACCATTCCCATAAACATTTTGAAAGGTCATCTAATTCCAAAGAATTCATACCACCAAAATTATTTATGTAAGTTACCACTGAAACAGAATCTGAATGAATCTCAATATGAATATCACAAAATTCATTGTAAAATGCTTGCATGCAGTAAAAAACTGCAAGGAGTTCCAAATAATTAATATGATGACCACATTCCTGATTTTTCCATCTGCCTTGTGTGTGCAAACCAGAAATCAGGTCTATTCCACCATAACCTTCCATCGAGGCATCTGTAAAACACCTTCTGGATACAGAAATAGGCCTGATTCTTTTACCATTTTTATTCTTCACGTTTTTTAACCACCATTGAATTTCATGGATACTTTTCGTAGATAAACTAACTTTATTATCAAAATTCATATTTTGACCTAAACCTATCAACTTTTCTCTTTCAAGGGCTCTATAATGTAGTGGCCCTTCTAAAATTGCATAAAAAGAACTAACTATCACACCTATAAAAGATGCCAACTGTCTGACCAAAACAACCTCATGTTGCAATAAATAGGATGCTTTCGACATAATTTTCTGCACTTTTTCATCAGTCAAAAATACCTTGAACTGAACTGTATCAATAATATGACCAAAGAAAATAATTCTCTGACAAGGGATTAGTACAGACTTTTTCTCATTTATAGTAAATCCTAAACTCTGTAATGTCTTTGTAATAGTAACCGTATTATTCAAACACACATGTGACAACTCATTGAAATTAATAGAATCATCAATATAATAAGAACAGCGTATATCTTGCTGTCTAAACCAAGCAAAAATGGGACGTAATACTTTAGTAAACAAATATGGGGCTATTTTCAAACCAAATGGTAAACATACAAATGAGTATAAAATAGAATTGAATGAAAACTTCAAATATTTCCAGTGTGAAGGATGTATAGGAATAGAGAAATATGCATCAGATAAATCAACTTTTGTCATAAAGTCATTTTGTTTAATCAAATCCAAAACAATAGAAAATGTTTCCTGTTTAAAATGACTATATTGTAAGAACTCATTTAAAAATCTCAAGTTTATAACTGGTCGAAATTTATTATTAGGTTTAGGAACAATAAATATTGTTGAAATAAATTGATCAATCTCTGATTCTGATTTAATAATTGCTCCTTTTTTCAACAAATCTTGAACTTCATTATGAACAATTGCTTTTTGATCTGAACAAAAAGGAATTTTCATGAGGAATGCTTCTTTGAAAAGGATTTTCATTAAAATCTATCTTATACCCCGAAACTGCATTCAAGATCCAAGGATCTGAAGTAAATTTTTTCCATACACTTAAAAAATACTGTGTACGTCCAACTTGACTTACCCTTTCATTTATTCCTGATCGTTTGGGGCACTGGCTGTAGCAGAAGCCAAGGCACCTCTTCTCATACCTCTTCCTCGTCCGCCTAGACCAATCTTGAAAGATTGTCCACGTAACGGATACGGTCTAGTCCTAAAACCAGAACGCTGATTGTATGTAGATGACTGGTAGCCGTAATTACTAAAATTTGAGTTAACAAATCCTCGACCAGAGCGTCTACGCTGGACACCTCTATAATTGCTGTAAGTATAATCCTTACCAATGTACGATAAAGCATCACAACTTTTGACTTCTTTTGAAACATCATCACCAAAAAGTTTGGTTGTTATAGGCATCGAAATACTACACAATGAAGAATACTTCTTCTTCAAATACGGTCTTATAAGATATCTCCTCCTCAAACTGAGGTTGTATTGCACCTGACCCAGAACAGTAAACAGGTCAGAGAAGATACATTTTGCCTCATTTTTCATAAGATTGTTCTTTTTCACAAACTCAAGCAACTTAACAACTGGACCTAGGCCCGAAACCACAAGATTTTGTATGTCCACCATAAACTTATCTTGAAAATGGGCTCTTTTGTCTAATGTTTTCCATATTTCCTGGTTAACAATGGGCGGAATGGCCCTGTCACAATTCTTAGGTACTTGGTACTTATTCAAAATAGAGTCTAAGTCACACTGGGCAGTAAATGCCGTGTTATTATACCCCCAAAAACGAAGTTTGGGGGGGTATATAGGAGTCACCCGGTGGTCGGTCGGTCGGTCGGTTGGTCGGTCGGTCGGTCGGTCGGTCGGTCCAGACGTCCGTTGCATTTTCCTTGTCCGGAGCATAACTTGAAGACTAATGGTTGGAATTCAATATAACTACATACAATGGTCAAGCACATTGAGAGGAAGTGCAGTGCGAAAGAAACATAACTCTATCTTGACTAATTACAGAGTTATTGCCCTTTGTTACTTTTCCTTGTCCGTGGCATAACTTGAAAACTATTGGTTGGAATTCAAAACAACTTCATACAATTGTCAAACACAATAAGGGGAAGTGCAGTGCACAAGAACCATAACTCTATCTAAAGTAATTACAGAGTTATTGCCCTTTGTTGCTTTTCCATTGCCTTCTTTTTTTTTGTCCGGACCATAACTTGAAGACTAATGGTTGGAATTCAATATAACTACATACAATGGTCAAGCACATTGAGAGGAAGTGCAGTGCATAAGAACCATAACTCTATCTAAAGTAATTACAGAGTTATTGCCCTTTATTACTTTTCCATTGCTTTCTTTTGTCTGGACCATAACTTGAAGACTAATTGTTGGAATTCATTATAACTTCATACAATGGTCCAGCACATTGAGAGGAAGTGCAGTGCACAAGAACCATAACTCCATTTTGACTAATTACAGAGTTACTGCCCTTTGTTTCTTTTCCTTGTCCAGAGCATGACTTTAAAACTACTGGTTCGAATTCAAAACAACTTCATACAATGGTCAAGCACAATAAGGGGAAGTGCAGTGCACAAGAACCATAACTCCATCTTGACTAATTACAGAGTTATTGCCCTTTGTTACTTTTCCATTGCTTTCTTTTGTCCGGACCATAACTGGAAAACTTATTGTTGGAATTCATTATAACTTCATACAATGGTCAAGCACATTGAGAGGAAGTGCAGTGCATAAGAACCATAACTCCATCTTGACTAATTACAGAGTTACTGCCCTTTGTTACTTTTCCTTGTCCAGAGCATGACTTGAAAACTACAGTTTGGAATTCAAAACAAACTTCATTCAATGGTCAAGCACAATAAGGGGAAGTGCAGTGCACAAGAACCATAACTTCATCTTGACTAATTACAGAGTTATTGCCCTTTGTTACTTTTCCTTGTCCAGAGCATAACTTGAAAACTACTGTTTGGAATTCAGTACAACTTCATACAGTTGTCAAGGACATTAAAAGGAAGTGCAGTGCACAAGAGCCATAACTCCATTTTGACAAAATACAGAGTTACTGCCCTTTGATACTTTTCCTTGTCCGGAGCATAACTTAAAACGTACTGGTTGGAATCCAAAACAACTTCATACAATGGTCAAGCACAATAAGAGGAAGTGCAGTGCACAAGAACTATAACTCTATCTTCAGTATTTATAGAGTTATTGCCCTTTGTTCTTTTTCTTTGTCTTTCTGGACTTATTACAGAGTAATTCAATTAAACTTCACCAATGGCCAACCACATTGAAAGGAAATGCAACATACATGAACCACAATTATCTTTAATTGCCCACAACCATAACTCTATGTTTCAATTCTTTTACAAGGTATTCTGTTACTAGTAACATCCTCATTTCCGAAGCAGACTTGTGGGGGTATTAATCACATTTAGTGATAGTTCTAGATTAAATTGGCCAAGGACTCATTCACTGGCTCACCTTTCTCTGGTATCTTTAATTTGGGAAGATCCCATGTATCACTATCCGACTCAAGTCTATTATCAGTACAACCATCGTCAAAAGCCGAAGAAAAATCTTTTGACAGATTACGAATCCCTGTATCTTCAATATCAACATCTTGGGCAGCAACCTCCACCCTAAGGTTAGGTTTTAATGCTGCAGGAACAGCAGAATAGTTATCATTCACAGATTCATCATCCATATAATCATAATTATCCTCATTATAGTCATAGTTATCACAATCAGGGAGAAACTGAGGATTCTGTTGAACAACAGGCTGTATACCAAGAAGAGTCCTAAGACCTTCAATATCCTTATTAGATAAGTTTTTCAAATCAAATTTATCCGAGGATAAATTTCTGTCCGATATTTCCGAAGAATTAGTATTCAAAGTTTTACCTGACTTTTTTTTGCCTTTACCACGAGGGGGTTTATTTTCTTTCTTCACCACGACGGATTTTAACCGTTTTTTGTCCGAAGACTTTTTCTCTTTCTTACCGGTAATTTCTTGGTCCGAAAACCCAGAAAAATCTCCCTCCTCACCCGAAGCATGAAGGTCTATCCTATCGAGAAGAGCCTCTTGGGCCATAATAATGCGGTTAAACGCAAAATAACTTTTAAAATAACTAAAACTTTCAAAAACACGCGACAACCACAACGCCAAAACAAAAAGTGAAAACATGTGTTTCATGCTTCCGGTTATTACTTCCGGTAGTCACGCGCATGTCCATGATATAGCGGGAAATTTAAACCTTTGAATACGCGACTTAAACCATAAATTCAAAATGAAATGCTATTTTGTACATGTGAAGCCGAAGGCTTGATGAAAAATAATGGATTTTTAGCTTGACAAGGTAAGAAAATATATAAAATAAACACATTTACATCTTTTAGTCTTTAAATATTCTACTTGCACGGATATACAACTTTTTAAGGTTTGTTAACAGTCTTTTATGAGTTTGAATCGAAAAACAAATTTCACATGTCAGTGACGTAGTAGCAAACAGCCCGAAACTATTACGCACCGTGTCTTTGACTTTTGTCTCTCTAACTTACTTTCTAACATAATACTTAAGTGTTGAAAAGAACTCATCTTGCACTTGCCTTTGCAATTGTTATGCATATAATATACTGAAAGTTTTCTTGTATCAATCTCAATGTCCAAAAGATTAACTTCCTTAAAAGATTAGATTTGATGTAGTTCTTACATTCATGCATTTTTACTGCCAAGAGTCATTTTTAGCTCACATGGACAATATTGAAGTGCCGGAACAAGAAGAATTATACTAAAAAATAACTATTAATTTTAAATAGAAAAACACTGTAAACATCTCCTACTGAACTGATACATGGACTACCACCAACGTTTGTAGCTTTCTTAGATGTTTCTTTGTTGTTGTTTTTTTCAAGTTTGCTCAAATGTGATGGGTTCCCATTTTTGCTTTTTGAGTTGTTTAATGGCCAAACTGTTATCCTGATTAAAAATTGATTAAACGAGAAAAAGAATTAAAATGGCTCCAGTATGTAAAGCAAATCAGAAAGCGTGAGTTGGCATGCTTTACTTGCCAGATGTACAGTAACAATAAACTTTGGTCATTTGTGAAAGATTCCATTTTTTTATTATAAGAAAAAACAGTGTGGGGAAACTATATAATTAGAGGGGCAAGTAAAAGTTGAGCTGGATTTGCTTGTCAGTTGTTTCTGTTCCAGTGACAAAGGTCAAGGTCACATTTAGGGATCAAAGGTATAAAAACAACAAAATAAAACATTCATTTATATACAGGGATTCATTATGTCTCCCAAAATATTTGGCTTTGCCCTTGCTGTCTGTCTGTCCGTTGGCTCTCACGGGACAGTAATAAATAAATAATGTAACAATAGAGGGACAATAGGTAACTGTTCTAAACTGTAGCCACATTATTACTGTCCCGTAAGAATGTCCCTCCAGTTGTCTGTCCGGGCTATTTAAGAGAAGTAGGGGGCCATCTAACTGTAAACAGAACAAAAGAGAACAATACAGTTCATTCCGTAACAATAGCAGTCTATGCAAAAGTCAATTTTTTTTTCAGGCCACAAGGACCGAGACCCTTAGGTTTATTTCTGGCCCAGATGATATTTTTCCGGCCCAGACATTTCAAGCATTATTTTATAATAACTCAGTTGAATGTAAAAATGATCGTCTTTCTTTAAATTAGTGTGACCATCATATAGAAACACAAGAAGATGCTGACCAATTGAAATAACTTAAGCAGGGTTCTCACTAGAATTTTCAAAGTAGGAGTCCTGAGACTCCCAAGCACAAAAATGTAGGAGTTCCAGATCACTTTGAATATGTTAAACCATCTGTCCTGCACTTATGCAGTTGACGATTATGATGTATATGAGCAGAGTAAGGGGTTGGGGTGTTGGAGTTTGAACAGAGAAAAAGCTTAGTCAGGAAAATGGTAATATGTCCAAACACTGTACCATAAAAGTGATTGAAAAGATTTGAAATATAATTTCAAAAACCCTACATCATCAGACCATTATGCTCTTTTCTTCCAGATTCACTCCACCCTCCCCCCCCCCCCCTCCCATATGGAAATATTTATTATAATTATGTGACAAACACATACTGGTAAATACCTCCATCTCAACTAAAGTAAACAATATCTTTAGTAATTTTAATTCCTAAACTACATTTTAAGTGTTATGACACACATTTTAACAAAACATATCTTCCTTTTGGTTACGATTTTTGTGCCCCCACTTTAGTGGCGGGCATTTAGATTTACCCTTGTCCGTCCGTTCTCTTTTGTGTCGCACGTAACACAAAAAGTATTTGACCTAGAGTCATGAAACTTAACAGGATTGTTGATCAGCATGTGCAGTTGTGCACCTGGGTATTTTCGTGTGGATTTATTCGGTATTTTAGAGTCATTGCCCTTGACTAAGTAAAAATTTGCAATTTTCAACTTGTGTCGCATGTAACTCAAAAAGTATTTGACCTAGAGGCATGAAACTTTACAGGAATGTTGATCAGCATGTGTAGTTGTGCACCTGGGTATTTTCGTGTGTATTTATTTAGTATTTTAAGAGTTATTGCACTTGACTTAGTAAAAATTTGCAATTTTCAACTTGTGTCGCATGTAACTAAAAAAGTATTTGACCGGAATGTTGATTAGCATGTGTAGTTGTGCACCTGGGTATTTTCATGTGGATTTATTTAGTATATATAGAGTTATTGCCCTTGACTAAGTAAAATTTTGCAATTTTCAACTTGTGTTGCATGTAACTCAAAAAGGATTTGACCTAGAGTCATGAAACTTAAGAGGAATGTTGATCAGCATGTGTAGTTGTGCACCTGGGTATTTTCGTGTGGATTTATTTAGTATTTTAAGAGTTATTG